CTTCTGATTTGGATCATTTTATGTACACCTATGGCTCATGGAATATTGAAGGAGGGAGGTGGAAATATTGTAAGAACAAGATCAAAGCATTTGCTGTGAGATTGTGCCTCCTAGTGATGTCAGTAGCTATGCCCACAAAGTCTCTTTAACATGATTTCCTAAACATTACCTGAACAACATGGTTGGAGAAAAGCCCATGAGGACTCATCCTTAGACACAGAGATACACAGACACACACACAGAGACACACAGAGACACACAGACACACTCATGCATATACACACAGACACAGACACAGACACACACACACACACACACACACACACACACACACATACACAAATAATTGTAGGCAACTGAGGAATGCTGAGTGTGGGAGAAATAGTGTACTCCAGGGAAAAGCACACCAGTTGGTTAGCTAAAACCCAATATTCAGGCCTGAAAACATGCATACATGGAATAATAATAAATAACACATGGACTGAGCAGGTTATATTTTGGAACATATATGTATATACCTATACATATATGCATGCAATAACATTGTGGAAGACAAGGGAGGCTTGTAACAGCTACAGGATTGCCAATGTTTCTGTGATGTGAAACAGTGTCTGTTGGATGGAACCGGGATACTTCACCCATTAACTCACAGTAGCTGTGAGCTGCTGGCACAAGCCTTGCAGAAGGTGAAGCCAGTCAGGACTCTAGCATGGAGAGCAAAGGGGCTCATAAGGCCTCAGATCTAGCCAAGGAGCTGTTGACAGTTGATACCTGCTAGGGGCAGAAAAGTCACACTCCCTCAATCCATGCGTCAAGGATCATTGCAGAAGAGGAAACAGAAAGATGTATGAGCCAAAGACAGTGGATGACTACAAGGAAATAGTGTTTTCCAGACCTAGCAGGGCAGATGCAGTTTTGAGCTCACAGTGGTTATGGCAACATGCAAAGACCCGCACAAGCTCAAGCCAAACCAAATCCCAGCATGGAGAGGGCAGATGAACATGAATCCCACCCCTAACTGAGAAGCAGTTGGCATTTGATGGCTTCTGGAAGAGGGAAAGTCAGTTTTCTTTAAGGATGTGAGTCCTGATAAGTCGATCACACTCCATTTGAAGACCACACATCTTAGAGTATATAGGTAGTACCAGAAACTCCCTCTCTCTCCCTCTCCTTGTCTCTCCCCTTGTCTCTGTCTCTGTCTCTGCTGGGAATGCATCCAAAGGCTTCAAAAGTGGTAGATAAGGTCTTCTATTGGTGCCTCCTGATTATCTAGGATGAGTGGCCATCATGCAGGGCCAGTGGTTTCTCTTAAATTACCATTCCCACCTCCATGCTTTTATCTGGGATAGCCTGGTTTTAACATTCGATATTCTCATTATAATATATAAGGCCATTGATTTTATAAACATTTTCTTTGCTTCTGTATTTATTCATGGTTCTGAAAGTTCAAGGTTCATAGATCAATGTGTCCTGGCTACATTGTCATTCAAGTCACAGCATTTTCTCACTTCATTTTTTCTCATTTCACTAATTGTTTATTGAGAAGGATTGGCTTTATTTACAAAATGTAAGGTCATTGGTTATCTCTGACCAAAGAATCAAGAGGGCACCCAAAGTTCTGAGAGTCTCTTGATGATACATGAAGTATGCATGATGGCTGACATTCATTATACAGAGTGCACTAGGAAAAAATATTATCTCAGATATCCTTAGTTTCTGTCCGTGGAATGTGGGGTCAGAGTCTTTTTTCTTTTATGGCTTCTTACTGGTATTCCAGTGTCCTT